TAAGAGGGCTGGAACTAATTCCAAGCTCTGGCATATATGTTGGCCACTGTGTTGGCAACCATTCAATTTAAACATTTGCAAATGGGCAACAGCAGCACGCTTACATAACTTTTGAAATGTACTTGGAGAAAAGTTAATCACCATACAATATCAGAAGGCTGAGAAACATCGTATGAATACAGGAATATGAGCACGACTGAATTCTGAATCAGCAGTTTGAATATGTACGTTGAAGTCACCTGAAATTTAAAGAGCTACAAAAACTTAAGCAATGTGATTTGAAGTTCCGAGGACAGCTAGAGCATTATGACCCCAGAATGCTATAAGTGTAAACATGTGTATAAAAGTCTTCCAATAACCTAACACTGGGGGAATAGAATGCATGTAACTTATTTGTATTTTATTATTGTTGGAGACACTTTATTATTTCTCTCATAGAATATTACACATTATCTCAAAAGAGTTGTCCATGATTACTGTCTGCATGTCCCTGCCTTCCACCCATTACAAAACTCACCCAAGCTGAATGTCATCCTCTCTCACCACTAAAATAAACTTCCTAGGATCAACAATTATCTTGGGTTGCTAAATCCACTGGACATTTTTCCAGTGTTCCTCTTACTTCTCCTTCTCAGTAACACGTGAGAGCTGCCCTACTTCCTCCATCTGGAAGTCACCTCATCCCATGCAGTCTATGACAGTACCCTCCTGTGTCTTCCTCTGACCTGTGGGCTGTCCTCTTCATTCTACACATTCTCTTTTACTACAAACCCAACCACAGCAGTTAAGCTAGTTCCTGCCCTCCTCAACTCCTACGCACATTTTATATCTCCCATTCAGATACATCCTCTGAGCTCCAGACCTGCAAGTCAACACCTACTTGTCATCTCCCCACAGATGTCACAAAGGCACCTCAACTCAACATGACCAAAGCAGACCTCTGGATATCCCTCCACAGCTGGGCCTCTTCTTCTGTTCCCTAACTCAGTGGCGGCCACCAGTTGTACAAGCCCCAAACCCAGGAAAAGCTTCTCCCTCTCCTTCCATAGCCCACTGTCACAAATCCTGTTGATTTTGCCTCTCAGATCTGCCTGTCTCTTTCAGGGTCCACAGCAATCACCTTCTAACTCATCTCCTCCAGCAGCTATCCTTGCCCTGATCCATTCTGTTCACCACTCTGAAATTATTTCTAATACATATTTTTAAATGCAAATCTGACCTATCTTCCTCAGCCTAAACCCTTCATTGGCTTCCCATTGCTCTTGGGATAAAGGGAAAGCCCTGCAGAGACACTCAATGTGGTTATTCCTTTTCTCTCTGGCCTCATCTATTTCCACCACCTCCTCCTTTTTCACTCTTTGCCACACTGTTCTTGGTTCCTCCTCCCCTGAGTCTTTGCATAGGCCTTTCCCCTCCCTCTCTCTACCTAGTTAATTCCCATTTAACCATCAGACTTAGCTCAAATGTCACTTCCTTCGGGTTGCATTCTTGAAGCATCTCCACAAAATAAGCCAAGTCTTCTGAATTTACATCTCTATAGCACTCTGAATTTTTTCCCTTTTTAGAAATTATATACTTATTCATGCTCATTTGATTATTCACTCTGAATGAAGATAAGACAGGAACTGCATCTCTTTGCTTACCATTTTATCCCTGACACTCTAAAGTCCTTGCTCTTCATCGGCTTATCAACTCTTAAGATACCAGAGCATACTAGCTCCACAGGCTATTTAGACCATGCCCTGCTGGAACATGAGGAGGTACAAGTGCCTCCACTGACCTAGAAA